CTAACCTAGCCATGACCCTTTAGTCATGGCTTAGAGGAGAAGAATGCAAACTAGAACCTGTTGTGCTGTATTCATGTATATAAAATAATACTCATGTATATATGTGGATATAGCAGGTACTAATTTGGATGCATGTATAAATTTGTATATATATATATATATATATGTGTGTGTGTGTGTGTGTGTGTGTGTTTGTGTGTGTGTGTGTGTGTGTGTGTACATATATGTCTCAAAAATCAACCTGCCAATCTGGTACCATGTAATACATATGACATTGGCAAGTGTCCTGTGCTGTTTGAGCTCACTGGAAGCTGTCTTTAGGAGTAGGATTGCCCTCCCTCCTCATTTCAGACCCAAGCATGTTTGTTTCTTAATGTCCTCCAAAGCTCCTTGTCGGGGATGAGCTGGCTCCCTAACTTTACAGAAGGGAGGAAGTGAACAGCCAAACAACTCAAGAGTAAACACATTATTCCCCTGAGGAACTAGCAGGTAAACCATTTCCAATTAATGTTACTATTGTTTTTCCCATGATATAAGAGAGTCTGTCGTGGGAAGGAGAAGCCAGGGATTTCAGAACCAGGAAGCTCACCCATGAAGAAAGAGTTCAATTGTAAATTCACTTGACTCCTAATCTGATGATGTCATCTTTAGGTGTTACTATTTATTCTTTTACTTGCAAGCCTTGGCAAAGGTGCCTACTCTTCTGGGACTATCATACTTCAGCTGCCTTAACAGGGATTTCTCAGTCACTTTCTGTGGGATGTCTTTAGAGGTTGTTTGGAACATTCTCTCTCTCTTTCTCTCTCTATTTATTCATTTACTTTGGCTTGTTATCTACTTGATAAGCTCATTCATTCAAAATCTAAAATATGGCTGTTATAGATCATTCTCTGGACTGTACAGAACATACCACATTAAACATGACATTAACTGCTGGTTTTATTGCTTAACTATTACTAGGTTATGATGAAAAGGAGGGCATTATGGTCTGAAAGCTTGATTGATAATCCTAGCTTCCTGTGTGCTGATAACAACTCACTTAAGATGTCTTACAAGTGATTGTTGAAGTTATATTAGTTAATTTTTCTTGAAATGAGGGCAAAATTGAATTCACAACTATAGATCTTACTTTATCATAGAAAGAGATGGAATCAAGACCTAAGTTGTAAAGAGGATCTATTCAAATATGGAAACAGCACAGGAAAACCATTCATCTTTAAGACTGCAAAAATAAAGCATAGTGATTTATATTGAAATGTACTTCTGTACCTGTCTTTTGGAAGAAGACATGCACCAACAAATTACAAAGTAAAAACAAACATTATCACTGCAACAAATAAGTGCTACCAGAAATGAGAGTTTAAGAAAATAAACGTAGAAACAAATATTCATGTTTAATTCACAAATTAAGTAGCATATTTCTAAGCTGGGTTGTTCCCTACGAGGATTTAAGGAAAATCAAAGTCCTTGAGAACTGTTTTGACTCTGCTTTTCGATTAGTACTAGTCAGGATTCTAAGATTAAATCTGATCAACACACTCAGGTAGCATGACCATAACTGTCAATTTTCTATATCCCCCACCCCGGTTGTATCACATTTATATTTTATTTATTTCTTGTGTGTATGTGTGCATATGTGTGCATGCACACTCAGGGAAAATTCATGCATTCCAAGGCATGTGTGTAAAAGTCAGCTGACAACCTGTGGGCGCTGGTTTAACATGGAGTCTGGCTTTCTACCATATGGGTTTGGGGGGATCAATTTTGGACTGCCAGACTTGGCAGCAAGATCATTTACTCGTGGGGCTGTCTCCCCGGCTCTGTGTTTTCTAACTGGTTAAAATGGAAATAGTATAATTTATGCTTGGCTTTGGGAACTCAGCACTGCCATTCTGGAGCAATGAGAGCAGTCTGTAATTTGCTTGCTGCTTCCTTGCTTGTTCCTTTGGCATGGTTCCTGTGCAAGCCCTGGGGGTGGGGGTGGGGGAACTGTATACCTCTTGCTACAGTGAGGGCCAGTATTTTCTTCACCATGGCTAGTGGTCTTGGAATGTGACTTATTTGGCAAATGGAAAGTTAGGGGGCAGGAATAAAATTGCAGTTTAAATGTATTTATATAAATGTGACCTGGCTGCTTGTGCTTCTGCCACTTACCAGGAGGCACAAGTGCTCTGTTTGTCACTTGTTTCAATGAAGCTACTAGGAGCAGAGAACTCATGTTATAGCCTAGAACCACACCTGGCTGATGCTGCCCAAACCAGTGCTAACCACACATGAATGAGGGAGAAAATAATTATTTGTAGTTGTAATTATAGAGATTTTTGGGTTTCTTTGGCAATAATAATGGACTGGTATTCCAGATGATTTTAGACTAATAGTTCCATATTCTGGGCATTGGTTTCTTCTGAGTGAGCTGGGATAATGTGGAAACACATGTCCACTTTGTAAGAATTTGGGTTAGGATAAGACAGCTAGGGCTAATCCAAAGACTTTCCTGGGTGAGCTTATGATACACACTTCAGGAACTTGGCGAGAAGAAGGTACTGGGTGGAGGAGCAGTTTCAGGTCTAGGGTGCACAACAGGGCCGGTCTCTCAGGAATTGACTTCGGGAGTGTTTTCCTCTGAGTCCATCCCTCTGTGAGCTGTCCAGGATCTGACAGGATTGGCAGGGCATCTCACCCTCACTTCCTAATAAATACTCTGACCTCTTCAGTGTCACATGCATTTGATAAGAGGAAAGCGTTTCAAGCCGCTGATGAAGCCTGCCTCGGAGTCTGCCTTACCTGGACTGCTGACATTGAACTGCGGGCTGTTGGGGGAGAAGCTATTGTGTCTCTGGACTCGGCGGCTGGATCGCTTTCCTGGCCACTGGATAGACAGGACTTCTGGTTTGGCTGGGCCTTGCCTGAAATAAGAGACAACATTGATCTTTCTTGTCAGACCTTCAGTATGCTGCTCCTAGGATGTGATCCTAAGGTTTCACCCACCAGGTGTTTCTGGGATAGTTAAACATGCCCTAGAGAGCCAACCTGTTTGTTACTACAGCATACAAACGCAAAGATAGGAATGTTCTAGGCTTTCATTAGTCTTAAAATTAAGCCCAAGTAAAACTTAATCTGCAAACTAACCCTTATTTCCATCACTGGCCAAGTCCTTAATACAAACAAAATTTCTGTATATGATGTATTGTGTTTTGCCTGAGAATACCTATGGAGTTTTCTTTGCTTGATGTTTTAAATTTTTGTCCCAATCTAGTAAAATTTCATGTATTTTAAATGGCAATTAATTCCATAATTCTTACTTCACCAAACTGAAGCTCCCTCCTCCCATGTCCAGATGTGCCTTCACCCCCTCCTCCCATGCCCAGATATGTCCCCCCTCCTTCCATGTCCAGATGTGCCTCCACTCCTCTCCTCCTATGTCCAGATGTGTCTCCACTCCCTTTCCACAGACATTTCTTGGCAAGTGCTTATTGTTCCATTTACCATCCTATTAAAACTCAGCTTGGTTAAATCACTATGTCTTTTTTTTTTTTTTTTTGGTTTTTTGAGACAGGGTTTCTCTGTGTAGCTTTGGAGACTGTCCTGGCACTCGCTATGGAGACCAGGCTGACCTTGAACTCACAGAGATCCGCTTGCCTCTGCCTCCGGAGTGCTGGGATTAAAGGCGTGCGCCACCAACACCTGGCCACTATGTCTGTATTTTTATCTTATTAAGTTTTCCTGTTAGCTTCCCAATGGGAAATACACAAACCAGTGATAACTACATGGGAAAGTTGTGAGGAACCTCTAAGAAAGAAGCTTTATTAAAAAGGTGGGCTTAGCAAAAAGCAAGTTTGTCTTTCTTGTTTCTTTGTTGGCACACAGAACATGGTAGCTGGAACTTCAACTGTCTTCAATTGTGACCTACTTAAGAATGGAAGACAAGTGCTTAAGATGTGATAAAGAAAGACTGAGCAGTATCTAAAGATGTTGCATTGGCCTTAAGCTGGCACATAGATGTCTCCGGCTAGAGAAATCCCTTAAGTATCTGAGTCACTTTCCATATTTTCCATTATAGGCAGTCAACTATAGCACTCATTTGCTCTTGTGAGAATCAGTTTTTAACTATCTTTCACTAGTGAAGATTCCTTTAGTTTTTATCCTGTGATACTGTATTCCATTTTTCTTGTTGTGGTTTTCTTTGTTTGGTAATAAATGAACCCCAAATTGCTTTCTAAGATAGATTCATTTTGCTTTTATCTTGTGTAACTGGATTCTATTTTTCTGTGTTGTTTCCTTTGTTTGATGATAAATAAGCCCCAAATTGCTTCCTAAGGTGGATTTCACACAAATTTCTGTGTGAAATGCTTCCCATGGCATTAGTTTTATGCTTCGATGACTTTAAGGCAGTCAGTCATCTTAAAGGCAGCATCCCCTGCCTCTGGCTAACTGCAGATCTTTATCTCTCCCTCCTTTCCTCCAAATCCAGTCCTTCAGTCTGATCCCCAGCTTCATAGCAGACTACCTGCTGCAGCTTCCCTTTGCCACCTCCACTTTACACAGTCCTTACCCTTCCAAAGGTCCTTCCCTGACTAACTGCTTTATCTCAGTCTTTGACTCCATCAGGTACTCTCTGGAATTCCACAGGCCACTCTGGCCAACCAAATAGCTAGACTAACTGCAGATCTTCATCTTTCCTCCCTTTCTCTAAGTCCAATTCCCCAGTCTCACTTCCAGTTCTCTAGCAAACCATCTGCTGCAGCCTCTCCGTAATCTCTGCCTCCATTGCCAGGGGACTAAGCAGATCCTGGTGGAACGACCTGATTTACTATGGACACCCTCAATCTCCCCTGCATTCCTATTCCTGTTCCTAAGAGTCAGTTCTTAATGCTTAGAAACACAATTTACATGGAATCCCCAGTGGTCACATACATCAGGATCCTAGAAGAATTTCCATAATACTCTTCAAAGAGCCAGAGAGAACAATGGAAACCAAGGCACAAAGCACGCATCCAACAAAGACAAGATCAGATATCAGCACCAAGAATTGCAACCTTCCTAGTCCCAGATGCTTAGGTGCCAGCGTAAAAACTCAGTAACAGCCAGGACACTGTCCACTACAACCCAGAAACCCTACCACAGCAGCATTGCAACATCACTTAAACACAAGACAAAGACCTTAAAATAGCCTTTATGAATTTGATAGAGGCTTATGAAGGAAAAAAAGGAATAAATCCCTAAAGAAATCTATGAAAACACAAAAAAAGAAACAGAGGAAGGAAATAAATATAAACAGTCAAAGACCTGAAAATGAAATCAGAATCAATAAAAAAAAAAACCTCAAATGGAAGGAAATCTGGCAATGAAAAATTTAGGAATTTGAACACTATCCTCAGAGACAAGCCTCACCAATAGAATACAAGAGATGGAAGACAGACTATCAGACATTAAAGACATAATGGAAGAAATGGATACCTCAGTCAAATAAAATGTTAAATCTAAAAGTAACCTGGGCACAATACATATAGAAAATCTTGGACTTTATGAAAAGACCAGATCTAAGAATAATTGGAATAGAGGAAGGAGAAAAACCCAGATTATAGGCCCAGAAAATATTTTCAACAAAATCATAGAATAAAAATTTCCTAAACAGATGAATGTGATACCACCAAGGTACAAGAATTATACCGAACACCAAATAGACTGGACCAGAAAAGAAAGTCCCCTTCCCATATAATAATCAAAACATTGAATATACAGAACAAAGAAAAAGATAAAAAAGCTGCAAGGGTAACATTTAAAGGCAGACCTATTACAATAACACCTGACTTCTGAGTAGGACCAGAAGGGCTTGGACAGATGTGTTGCAGACTCCAAAAGACCATGGATTCTAGCCCAGACTACTATACCCAGCAAAACTTTCAATCACCACAGATAGAGAAAATAAAAAAGACATTCCATGATAAAACCTAATTTAAGCAATATTAAGCAGTATCTACTACTCCAGCCCTACAGAAAGTACTAGAAGAAAAATTTGAATTTAAAGAGGTTAATTCCAGCTTAAAGAGGTCACACCCAAGAAAACACAAGAATGAATAATCCCAGACCAGCAAATCAAAGAGGGAGAAACACAACACACAACACACACACACACACACACACACACACACACACAGAGCACAACTGCAAAATAACAGAAATAACCAAAGAATGTTTAATATCCCTCAATATAAAATGGTCTCAATCTTCCAATAAAAAGACACAATCTAGAAGAATGTATTCAAAACAAGAATCTATCCTTCTACAACCGAGAAACACACCTTAACATCAAGAACAGACATCATTGGGTGAGAGGATAGGAAAAGATATTCCAAGCAAATGGACCTGGGACGCAAACTAGTGTAATCATTTTAATATCTGACAAAATAGACTTCAACCAAATCTAATCAAAAGAGATAGGAAAGTATATTACATGTTCATCAAAGAAAAAAAATATACCAAGATGATATTTCAATTCTTAACATCTATACCCTCAACACAAGGGCACCCAAGTTAGTAAAAGAAACACCACTACAGCTAAACTCACACATTGATACTTACACACCGATAGGGTGACTTCCATAACCAACTCTTACCAATAGACAGGTCATTCAGACAAGAAACTAAAGAGAGAAATGATACAGCTGACTGACATTATAAACCAAAACAAATCATATTATATATTTACAGAACATTCTATCTAAGCATAAAAGAATATACCTCTTTCTTAGCACCTCATGTAACATTCTCCAAAATTTACCACATACTTAGTCACCAACCAAGTTTCAACATATGCAAGAAAACTGTAACAACACCCTACATTTTATCTGGCCTCAATGGATACATTAAAGCTGAATATCAACAAAAAGAAACAACAGAAAGCTTACAAACTCATAGTAACTGAATAACTCACTAGTGAATGAAAAGACATTAAAGATTTTCTAGAATTGAATGAAAAAGAACATACATCAAACACAAACTTATGGGACACAATGAAGGCAGTTGTAAGAGGAAAGTCCATACCATGAAAACATACCACAAACCATTGGAGAGATTTCATAGTAGTAACTTAACAGCACACCTGAAAGCTCTAGAACAAAAAGAAAAAATTATAAACATGCAGAGTAGTTGGAAAGAAATAATCAAACTCAGGATTAAAATCAATAAGCTAGAAGCAAGCAAGCAAACAAAAAGGAAAATAATACAAAGAATCAATGAAGAAAAGAGTTGGTTCTCTGAGAAAATCAGTAAGACTGACAAACTCTTATCCAAACTAACTAAGAGGTAAAGACAGAATGAACAAAATCAGAAATGAAAAGGGGACACAGCAACAGATACTAGGGAAATCCAGAGAATCCTAAAGACATATTTTAAAAACCAAGACTACAAAATTGGAAAATATGAAAGAAATGGATAATTTTCTTGATAGGTACCACTTACTAAAGTTAAATCAAGATCAGGTAAGCAATTTAAACAGGCCTATAACCCCTAATGAAATAGAAACAATAGTTAAAAGTCTCCCAAGCCAAGAAAAAAAGCCCAGGCCAGATGATTTTAGAGAAGAATTAATTAATACTAATACACCTTAAATTATTCCACAAAGTGAAAACAGAAGGCACATGGCCCATATTGTTTTATTATGCCACAGTTACCATGATACCCAAACTACATTAATACCTAAGAAACACAACAGAGGATTGCAGATCAATTTTCCTTATGAATATAGGTGCAAAAATCACAATAAAGTACCTGTAAACCAAATTCAAGAGCAGCAAAATTATCACCCACTATGATTAAGTAGGTTTCTTCCCAGAGATGCAGGGATGGTTTAACACACATAAGTCGATAAATGTAATCCACTACATAAACAAACTGAAAGACAAAA